ATGTACATTTAATTAATATATTTACTTTTCTATCATGTGAAGCTTATGAGTTCACGATTAAAAATATGAAAAATATTTTAATGAACGGGGTCACGTTAGACTTAAAAGTCGATGGTTTACTCGGGAAGCGGTCGCTGATGAGTCTCAAAAATGTTTACAGTGTGAATCGCCAGAATCAATTCTTCGCAGGGCTCTCGCACTCCAATAAAAGCGAGCACAAAGGAATGCCCGGATAGAAATAAGATAAAATAAGGTTAAGATAATTAAATAAAATAACAAAATATGTAAATCAAAATGAACACTTCCGTTAGATATGAAGATATGGATGGGGCTTATAAATAGTAAAATGATACATTTTTTTTTTACAGAACTTCTTTTTGAAGAATTTTAAAAGCTCTTATTTGTTTAAAGCTCTTTTTCAGAGGTAGCGGTTTGTTTTTTCCCATAACTTAAGTATCTAAGATCTGGTTGTAAAGCTAAAACATCAACCAATTTTTGTGATTTTAGCTTACCGTCTGGGAAATATAAAAAAAATAATATTCTATTAAACAACTTGGGAAAAGTCGAAAAAAATTATATATTGTGTTCTCTATTTTTTTTATTGACAAGTGCATTTATTGGGCGTCGTTTATGAGCAATACCTTAAACGAAGCCCAATTAAAGCGCCTGTCATGGACCAGTCCATATAGGAATGGTCCATCTGTACTAGGAAAAGTGGATGCATAGCGGCGGAGACGTCCACTCAAATGACATGTCCTAATTAAACGATATAGGGAATTACTTTGTTCGTTTTCAATAAAGTGTGGTGGTGGGCAATTACAATGAGTCGGTCAGAAAATAAAAAATTGAATTTTTTGTTTTTATTTGATAAAGATGAAAATCAATCGCTTTACCACTTACAGTGGGGAACAATGAGTACATGTTCACAATAAGTGATTTTCTTCGCCCATAACTTCAAAACGCATAATGCAAACGCAATTTATTTGTAGAGAGCAATGACTTTAACAAATCCTTAACAAATGGGCAATCCCAGAAAAATGAAAATATTTTAAGCTTTTAAATAGCGAAATATAAAAAACTAAAAAAGCTCGTCTGTATTAAATTATGCACTTTTCGTTATTTTTACTTATTTAATGTTTCAAAATTTTCTAATCATCAATATGCTTGCAGATTTTATGTTAAATATTTTTTTCTTTATATTCTAGTAATACTAACATCAAATTCAGACATTTATTAAATATTTCCTATGTTGTACCTGAGACAGAAGAAACAATATCTAGAAAATTTAAATATTATTGTTACAGCTAATACTGATGGAAAACATGGCATTAGTCAATCGGTAGTGATCAGAGTGAAAAAGATTCGAAATTTTGTCCCTAAACAGCAAGTCCAAGGCCCCCCTAAGGCGCTAGCAGACCCAAAAGCTAGACTTATAATGTTGCAAATTAGGAACAAGACCTTTCTAAGTCCAAAGGATGCTCTTTTCGCATAATAATATCAATGTTGGTCTAGATGGCCAAGTATGGCCATCGTAACACCACTTAAAACATCCCCACACCATTTTACATCTACCGGCATGTTTCACATACTCGGAAAAAAATGATAAAGCAATCCCGAAACTTTAAAATTATCATACAAATTTGACCACTTCAAGGGCTTCAAGGACATCATATCAAGCAAACCATGATAAACCAAACCAAACTAAAAACGCCATTCTGTAGATGACCATATCTATCAGATCACTAAATTGGAATTCGATTGGATCATTGGATCAGTGGCTAAACTCACCCTGTCCAGAAGCTTTTGATGTTTTTTTTTCACATTCTCTGCCGCGGCTCTGTCTCTGACGTGGATCTGTAGTGTGCGGCTCTAAGAGAGGGGGCCGAGCTAAAGGAGTGTGTTTTCGTGAGGAGTGTTGTTGATGTAGATGACAGACGAAGAAAAAGAAACCGCCCTTTTGCAGGGGCGGAAGGGGGCGGGGCTAATTTTTGAAATATGCTTGTAACAGTGTGAGCATACAGAAGTCTGGTGCCAAAATTTGGTGGCTCTAGCTTTTATGGTCTCTGAGATCCAGGCGCTGAACAAGACGGACGGAGAGACAGACATGGCTCAATCGCTGTTTTTGCTGTTTTAAATATCTCATAAATTGGAAAATACGATTAACTGATCCAATTTTTTTGATGCATTTTATTAAGTAATCTTTTTACTACGTGTTCTGTAATGTGAACGATATCTAGTGGTTGGCGATGTCTTCTACATCTAGATGTAGTCCTGAGTGCCGGGTATAAAAGTTGTGACGCGTAAGAAGCGTCTCACACGTCCCTTCTCGTTTTTCCTACAGTGGAGTCCTGAACGGGTTTCTATCATAGAGAACATGACTATTAAGGCACTCAAATAGTCTGTTAATTTTTTCTATGAATGTAGAAGTCGACTCTGCACTTTCTTTGCACTGCAAGAAGCCTCCAGAACTTATCATTATGGCTAACATTATACTATGGCTAAACACTTGAGTGGCATATTTTAACTTCATTTTTTCAAAATTATTTGGATATATGTGTATGCTTCGGTGTTAACTTAGGGCAGATTCGAGTTGAGGGTCTGGAGTCGATTTCAAACAATTCCTCGACTACTTTCCACGAAACAACGCCATCCCGGGTATAAAGATTTCTTTTACGGACGATGTTCCTTATCGATTTTATTAAATGTGGCACATCGTATATCGCAAATATTTCTTTATGATTAACATTAAAACTGGGGCTCTTAATGTCGACTCCCAGTCTTCTGAAAACAGCTCTATTATTTGATCCCCGGTCGCAGATAGCTGCTCTTACATTAAGCCCTAAGGATTGTGCTTGCTCAATATTAGCCGTCACTTTTTCCAATAGGTCATCGTGTTTTATCCCGTTGGCAGAAACGGTGTGGCTTAACATATATTTCCAGTTATCAAATAGGCCTCTTACCATGAAAACGCAGACTTGCTGTCCCAAAAGGCTTTTTTTATTTTTGCCATCATTTTCGTAGCCCTGAATTTTATCGAGTGCAATATTATAATGAAGACCTCGTCTGATCTTAATTTCATTAAATAAAAACACTGCTTCTCTTCCCTTAGCACTCATTCCTTCAAAAGTTGTCTTGAGGTTGATGAGTAAATCAGGATTAAATCCAGGCCTCATATTTTTCAAAACATCTATCAAGCGTTTTGATGGGAGCTTTTAATGTAAAACATCTCGAAGGTATTCATACCTTCAATTACTATTGCTGGGCTGTAGCGCAATGTCTTTTTTAAAAGCATGGTAAATACAGTTTTTGCCTCCGCAGAAACATGAAACAGCTTGGCAATTATAGGAATAACACTTGATTTTGTGTTAGGCGTTCTTATTCTGAGACGCCTGTTCTTGCGAGACAAAACTCATTTTAAGGCCACAAAATACTTCTTCAATTTGTAAAAGCGTACCTCCCCTATACGTCAATCAATATCTCATAATATTTTTTCCTATAATATGCCTCGTTTTGCTCTTTTTTTAAGCAGTTGTCACAAAATTCAATATCAACCGCTCCATTATTTTGTAATGGAGCTTCAGGCGCTTCTTTTACTCACAGTTACAAAATGCACTCAAAAAACGTTTCCTAGCGTGTGCTTTTCGGAAACACGTGAAAATTTGTTCACAGTACTTCTATCTACATTACAAGAAACAATACATTTTCTTAATAAAAATGGATCTTTTGGAAATGAAAATAGCTTCACAGGGAAATCGGACGAACTATTTCTATAACCACAAAGACAGGAAGAAAAAATGCATTTCCTACTGGCTTTTCTGTTGTATTTTTTATTAGCGGACGATATAGTAAATTATAATATTAATCTAGACTATTTTCGAAATCACCCAATGATATGGTAAAAGAATAATGAAATTAGAAATCAGTACTTAAATATATAAATACATATGTATTCGTACAGAGTATTACGCGATGCATCGCACACACTCCACGTACGAACACAATCCCAAAAAAGGGGGGAAAGAGGCTGCCGCAAAAACTTAGATTTCTACTCCTAATTACTGCAGGTCTCTTAGGCTTAGTTCAAAAACACTCACGAGTGGATATGCATATGAGGGTCTCTTAGTCCTATTATAATATTCAGCTTTATCCACTAAAAACGCATATGCAAGTCTATTATTCCTATTGCATATGCAGCATATTCGCCCGCGTTTTTGAGCTATCCATCACACATGCATATATCCCCCTCAATACATTCACACCCTGCAATTGGGCGTGCTCCCACTTTTAACATGATACGACAGGAATCTGTCTACGTACAGTAAGCACACTTTTTATGACGGTGTACACATGACGCTCAACAAGACGGACGGTCGGAAGAAGGGAGAAACAGACGGACGGACGAAGGGAGGAAGAGACGACCAGACGGACGGACAGACAGCCATGGCTCTATCGACTCGTCTATTGATGCTGATCAAGAATATATATACTTTATGGGGTCGGAAACGTTTTCTTCTGTGCGTTACATACAACCGTTATTCGCACAAATACAATATACCCTATTTACTCTTTACTCTCACAAAAAAAGCTGGTAGTTGAAATGAGAATGCATTTGACATTTGCCAATAATGAAAATGGTTTGCCAAACGACCATTATTGCCAAATAAGCATTAATAGATAATTAATTTATTAATTTCAGTAAAATTATTAAATATTAAAAAAAGTCATGGGAGAAGTATTTTTTTGACTGCGAGGAACTCTCTCTTTCGACTCTCTTTTACGTTTTTGCGTTAATTAGGCCCTGTCACTAACCTTATAGTATAAGTCCACACACTTTCTATCGATATATCGGTAAAAATCTTTGCAGGCTTCTAATATCAACTAGAATATGATTTAAGACCAATGTATATTTATGGTATATTTTTAAAATGAGAATGTATATTTTAGTATGTTTCCGAGGTTCTGACGGTATATTTGATAAAAAATCCGCGGTCACACGCATAACTGTAAACGGTCAATGAAAAGTTTTGGTGGCAAAATATTGTGATATTTAAAAGTGATATTTAAAGTGTTTTAACTACAATTTAAGCTAAGCGCAATTGTCTAAACGTTTTCTTTAATGAGTAAGTGCTGATTATTATGTTAATGCAGGTCCCCCGCTCGCTCAAAATGCGGCAAAGTGTGTCGCAGTCTCACGCAAACGCGTTGACTCGAACATTTGACGCACCTTCTGCTTGGCATCGGTGAGGATCTCCAAATTATTGTCTTCCAGCACCTCCAGATTGAGGCTGGTGTAGAAAATATAGTTCAGATCGATGCCCGGCTGCCCCAGATGCTCAGCTGGAGGTCAATGAGGATCAGGTCCTGGGCCGCTTGGCGTTCTCGTACTTGAAGAGTAGATTGTTCAGCCGCAGGTCGCGTGGTTGAGCACCCGGATCTCCTTGCGCTGATTTTTCATGTACTTGGCCCCGGCCAGGTGCTCACCACGGTGTGAACCTCCTCGCCGTTGCACGCAAAGAAGCGCATCAGAAGGCGAAAAAAAGGCCAGGTCCTCAACCACCAGCGTGTTTTCCGGCTGCTTAAGGCACTGAAATTGTCTACGGGCAGGAATTTATCCCTTATGTATCCCTTTCAGACCAAACTTAGCTCCTTACTTGGGTCCAAAGCGCCGCTTGCATTGCATGAGCAGCTCCAGGCGTGTCAGCACATAGTGATATGTGATCTGCTGCTTAAGGTAAACCTGCAGATCCTCAATAAACTCTACGGACTTCACTCTCGGTAAGCTCTTCACAATGAAAATCCTGTGCTGGTCCGCCTGGCCGGGCAGCCACCTTTCCAGACAGGCATTTAAAATGTGTTTGTGAGTTTGAAACGGAAAAAAAAGGAACTTATAATATGTTAAATGGCTAGTTTTTATACCCGTTACTCGAAGAGTAAATAGGGTATATTGTATTTGTGCGAATAACGGTTGTATGTAACGCACAGAAGGAAACGTTTCCGACCCCATAAAGTATACATATTCTTGATCAGCCTCAATAGACGAGTCGATAGAGCCATGTCTGTCTGTCCGTCTGTCCGTCCGTCCGTCTTGTTTGTCGGCTAGTTCTCAGAGACTATAAGAGCTAGAGCCACAAAATTTTGCATCCAGACTTCTATATGCTCACACTGTTACAGGTGTATTTCAAAAATGAGCCACGCCCCCTTCCGCCCCGCAAAAGGGCGAACACTTCCCAAATCTACAACTTTGAAGATAAAAGAAAAACAAAAACGCCATTCCGTAGGGAATGGCCATATATATCAGATCACCAAATTGGGATCCGATTGGATCATTATTATAGCCACAATGAAGAAATTAATATTCACTGGCTAAACCCACCCTGTCCTTTTGTTGTTCATTTCACATTCTCTCATTCACACTCTGCTTCTGCTTCACTCTGCCTCTGCCTCTGCCGTCCCTCTGCCTCTGCCTTTGCGGACTTTTAACCCACACCGTCACGCAGCTTATATTTTTTTTTTTTTTGTGTGCGGGCTCTGCCTCTGCCGCAAGTCTGCAGTGTGTGGGTCTAGGGAAGGGGGTCGAGCTAAAGGAGCGTGTTGGTGTGAGTAGTGTTGAAGATGAATATGACAGAAGAAGAAAAAATGTTAAATTAAAAAGTTATAAAAGTTGTGACGCTTAAGAAGCGTCTCACACATTTTGGCTCCGGACTGCTGTATGCTCACACTGAAACCAGTGTATATAAAAAATTAGCCCCGCTCCCTTCCGCCCCCGCAAAAGGGCAAAAACCTCGCAAATATACAATTTTGAAGATAAAAAAAACTAAAAACGCCATTGCGTAGGGAATGACCATATCTATCAGATCACCAAATTGGGATCCGATTGGATCATTATTATAGCCACAATGAAGAAATTAATTTGCAGTGGCTTTTGTTGCTTTTTTCACATTCTCTCATTCACACTCTGTTTCTGCAGTGTGCGGCCTCTGCCTCTGCAGAGTCTCTGCTCGACTCGGCTATTGATGCTGATCAAGAATATATATACTTTATGGGGTCGTAAACGTTTCCTTCTGTGCGTTACAATATACCCTACTTACTCTTCGAGTTCCGGGTATAAAAATTGGTTTGGTTCGATAATAAGATGCCGTTCGGCGCCTTGTCATGTTTCAGTCCTACACCAGCAGCGGCTCTAACGTGTTTGGCTTCTATTAACCCTCCAGTCTGACACAGCCGGACACTGCCAGCAAATGTCAGGCCAATCGATTGAATAGCCCCCAAGAGATTCGATTCGACCTGCTAATTGGCACCAAAATAAACTCAATTGAACGTAATCAATCGCAAATGATTTGCACACAACGATTAGAAAGCACTCACAATGGAGTGCAGCCGGTAAGAAAGTTTATGGCACTGCAGGCGGATGATTGAATACCCTTCAAAGGTTTGCGGTGTGTGATTTTCACTTAGGAATAGTTGATCACACACTCTAAATTAGTTTAGCTACTCCATCTATAAATTTGATCGATCTTCGTATCGATTTCTGGTTTCCAGAATTGTGACTTAAATAAAAGTCTTTTATAGCAAAGATTGAATCGATTTATATAACGTTTTTTCCAGAAACAAAGTTTTAATGTTTGAAAACAAAGAATGATTGGATTATTATGGATACTACGTAATTGTAACTATCTAAAAGACTAACTCAAGAAAACAATTTGTTTATCGATAATTTGTTTTAAAAAGATTATTGTGTCTTGACTTAAAATGTTTCCATAAATGAGTTTTAAATGAGTGTAGCGACAGGAATTATCGAAATCTTTTGATTTGATCCGATAATTTTGCAGTCAAGAAAAATTTGAAAGAGTAGAACTCTGCCACTGGCAAAGCCAACTGCGTATTAACTTTACCCAAAATGTGCCCTAAATATCCAGAACCTCCCAAATATCGTTATAAAAGGGCTGAACTATGTGGCAAAGAACTAGAAAAGTACAAAATGTACGCCAATAAGGTGGGAAAACTCCAGAGTCGGCGGCCAGTTGTGGCTTGGCGCGAGTGTCGAGATGCAACGGATGCATCAAAGTGCAGCAAATCCAAAGAAAGGTCAGACTGGATGCAGTTGCTCGATAGCTATATATCCCGATCGCATATACACGGTTTATATATGCTTTTTTTACCAACCATGCGACGACGCATGCGGTGAGTGGAAGGAAGATCTATCTCAGCTAACGTTTTTAGCCAAGTTTTTCCGCTTTAGTGTGCTCTGGTCCTTGGCCTTGATCTGCGCCTTCTCTGTGCTGATATATGTGAGCTATCTGTTGGGCGAACGCTATCACAATCGGCACTTTCAGACCATAATCGCCCACTCGCATGCTCCCATACGGCAGATTGCCTTTCCAGTGGTCATAATATGCAACAAAAATCGTCTGAATTGGTCACGGTTGGAGGAGGTTAGAAGTCGATATAACATTACCCCATCCCAGGAGCAACTGCTCGAACGTATACTAACTGCCTACGATCGTTTGAGTTTTCATCGTTTTGATGTCTTTGATTCGCTGGAGGATGAGCCGCTTCAGGCGCTCAATCATCTGAATTTCACGCAGATTGTCAGTGAAATGTCATGGCGATGTGATGAGATCCTGAGTAATTGTAGCTGGCAGACGGCAGCTCGGAATTGCTGTAGCCTGTTCCGGCCACGTCGTCTTCCCCTGGGTTACTGTCTGGCCTTCAATGAGCTCGAACAGCGACGAAATGCTGCCTTTGGCATTGATACGGGATTGCTGGTACGCCTCGTACTCCATTCCGAGCACCATGCTCCGGGGAATCTGGACACCAAAGGATTTATTGTGCGTTGAAGTCTGCCTCTGAACAGAATAGCTATTTATCCCTACTCTCCAACAGCTAAACATAGTGGAGCCTTCAGTATGGTTTGGTTTTCCCATCGAGGTGGTGCCTCACACGCGCACCAATGTGGCGGTGACCGCCGTCTATCATTACTTCGATGAGCATACCCTAAGCCTGCCCTCCAGTCAACGCCGCTGCGTGATGGACTCCGAGCAGGATAGCGAGCACTTCCACACACTGATGGGGCAGAAGTACATGCTGGAGAACTGCCAGGCCGAGTGTCAGCAGAGGTACCTGCTCCGCTACTGCAACTGCACTTTGGATCTGTTCTATCCGCCGTCGAACTACAGCGCCTGCCAGGCGACAGATTTTCCCTGTCTGGCGGCCCACAATCACTTGCTGCAGAACTTTGAGCAGTCCGGCGAGCATCCCTATGTACACACCGAGGATGCGGGTCTCCTGTGCGACTGCCTGCACAACTGCAAGTCGCTGACACTAGTGACGGAGTTGCGCAAGAGTGTCATGCAGCCTTGGCTCCAGCCCAATTCCTCGCTGGTCCAAGGCATGTGGCTGAATGTCTTCTTCAAGAAACCCTCCATGTTGGTCTATAGAACCAATCTGATCTACACCTGGGTGGATTTGTTGGGTAGGTTGAGATTATCCCACACATCCTAAAGCATCATATTGCTATAACTCGTTTTATTTTGCATCACAGTTTCTTTTGGTGGCATTTGCCAGCTGTGCCTCGGCTGCTCTCTGATCAGTCTCCTCGAGTTTCTCTACTTTGGACTGCTCAAAGTGCCACGATTTCATTGGCAGAGAATAAGGCAGATGAAAAAGAACTGAGAATATTAAAACTTGATTTATGAATTTATATATTTGTTAACACGATTTGAGAATGATTTTCATAAAATATCCACTGCTTAACAATACAGAACATGTCATTTAAAGCTTTGCAATGTGGTTTTTATGGTTCTTGTACTGGATACAAACGTGAAAAAGCTTACAGCAAAGGTTTTTGAAAAGTGTTCCGCATTGTTTTGGCGCGTGCGCACTTAAACCCCATTGAACAAAGAATTTAGTGAACATTGAAATTGCAGAATATAGAACTTCTAAAATGTAGAATTTGAAATATACATTTGCCAGGACATAGAATATAACATAATAGAATATAGAACACGGTATGTACTAAAATATGGAACGTGGACTTACATAGGATACAAAAGTGGGCTGAGATAGAATACAACACTTGGACTGCCAACTCCTACCCGAGTGGGGGCGCTTTTAAGTCTACAACTTCTTTATTTTTCTGCTAGGTATGATGCAGTTATTTCATAGAACAACTGGACTTTGGTCGATTCATCATTTGCATTACTTAATATGAATAGGCTTATCCGCGCCAACCGTGCCACATTACACCCTTCCATTTCATATTGTCCACGGTACCATGCAAATAGAGTCCAGAATTTCAATAAATTATTTAGACATGTATTTAGTGTACCACCAGGGACCCATGTACTCCACTGCACAGCTGTTTTCCTCCCATCCATCGTTGTCCATGTCCTGATTTACTCTCATCGAATCCCCAGCATCGCCAGTGAAGGCGCCCAACTTGGACATGCGATAGAATTCATTTTCACTTTGATGTGGAACTCATTATATTGGGCGTATCTCGTATTTCCCTCAAAATCTTCGACGTGTACGTATAGCTCTTGGGGCTGTGCCTTTGTTATGGCATGCAGCTTGTCCAATCCTATGAAAAAGTCGCCTGTGATGTTCCCAAATTCCCTCTTGTACTCCTTCCAAGGGCTAAAGAAATTCAGCTCTCCGTTGGTTCTACGTGCGATCACACTTCAAAGGGTACCTGCATGGTGTATAGACCATGGGCATTGGGATTCATAGGAAATTTACCATAGGAATTCTGTAAATTTAAGTCTATTCTGTCTGTGTTTTTAAACAAACTGTAAAAGTATTATTTTTTCTTAGCTTTTTGTTTTGTTTAAAGTGCTCGAAAAGCGAATCCTTTGCTTTTGCAGAGGGAAACACCAGCAACCCGTAGATCAACATTGACAGCATTATAACGCGCTGACAACTGCCTGGAAATTGTCATTAGATAGTGGCTCTGGTAACCTTTTCACAATCTCTTGTTGTTCTTATCGCGGCATTCATCGGAAATACAGAAGTTTTTATTAATAATTTGAACACTTATCTGTATTAACCTGTAAAAAAAAATGTTGGGCTTTAATAATGAAATTACTATTCCTATTTATTCTATTTTCTAATATTAAGACTTTTGTTACCAATTATCTTATCCAATTACCGCTTTTGGTGTACCAATTCTTAATTTACATACATAATTATGTATGTATAATTTAAACTATTTATGTCTAGATACAATATTTTTAATTCTATATTTTCTACTTTTCGCTTCTTTTACTTGCTTACTAATGTTTGACCTAGTTGTCACCAGCTTATACCAATTTTTTAATTTTTATTTAAAGTTCAGATCTGTAATATCTATTTAATTTCCAGCCATCTTTATGAAAATCTGTCCAAAGTATATCTCATCGTCTTTTTGTTTTTCTAGTGAGTTTTTAACGGTTTATTGACTGGCCGCGGGCGGTGTCTTAACTGCTGCAATGTCGCGTTTGCTTCTTAACAAGCTGCGCTCCGGCTCCATCCGGATGTGGGATTTTTGGGGGTTCGGATTGTTCAGGGTGTCTTGTCGAAATTACGCTCATAAACGTGACTTGACATAATAATTTGGCTGGCGCGATTCCGACGGTTCCGACTCGCCCGCTGGCCTTGTCTTTTGCGCTTTTGCCTTTTGCCTTTTTGATTTTTTTTTGTGTTCTCTGCCCTTGTAATTTCTTCTCTTTACTTTCTGTGGTAGCACTATATATCCCACGCTTTCCTTTTTCTGGTGTGGATTCCAAGGCGGCGCTAATTTTTTTTAGGTGTTCTCTTTTTTTAATTTTTTTTTGAGGTCAAGTTTTATGCCTTTTTCTCTCTTTGGGGTCGAATATGGCAAAAATTTCATTAGTTTTACAAACAAGCTAACAAACAGACCAAGAAACAAATATTTGTGCTTGAATTTTTTAACAGTTTAGCGGCAGTTTCTGTTGTTGTTGTTCCTGTTTCTATTTTTTCCCGGCTCTGGCGAGTTTTTATCTTGAGAAACAGGGAATAAAAGAAAGAAAAAACCAGTGGAAAAAAAGTGAAAAAGGCAATGGGTTGGTACCATCTGGGGTTATGGCCCGGTTCCAGGTGAAGCCAAGAGACTCCAGGGATATCAAGTAAATAAACAGAAAAACGTATCAAAGAAATCGCAATGCGAGAGGATTCCCAGCGAAATAAATAATGTTGTTCAGACATTCTCCACATAAACGAAATGAAAGCGTATGGATTTAAATTGTCTTCGAAATTTAGGGCTGCGATAAAGAATTTGTTGTGCAAACCCGTTTAAAACATGCTCCATTATAGTTCAGAAACCAACGCAAATTCGAATTTCAATCGTATCACCATTTCTACTATGATGGTCTCATCAATGCTCACTCTGCTTTATCTTCCTCCTCCAAGCTTATTGCAGAATTTAATCCAACAACAACGTGTCATATGCCAAAGCGAACAACAACGAGAAGGGACGTGTGAGACGCTTCTTACGCGTCACAACTGTATTACCGGAACTCAGTACTACATCTGCACTTTAGCGGTTATTTGTCAAATTTTACATTTTTTTCTTCATCTGTCATCTACATCAACAACACTCCTCACGCCAACACGCTCCTTTAGCTCGCCCCCCTTCCCTAGACCCACACACTGCAGACTCGCTGCAGAGGCAGAGGCCGCTGACTACACGAAGCTGAGTGTGAATGAGAGAATGTGAAAAAAACAACAAAAGCTGCTGGACAGGGTGGGTTTAGCCACTGCAAATTAATATCTTCATTGTGGGTATAATAATGATTCAATCGGATCCCAATTTGGTCTGATAGATATGGTCATTCCCTACGGAATGGCGTTTTTAGTTTTCTTGTATCTTCAAAATTGTAGGTTTGGGAGGTTTTCGCCCTTTACTCTTCGAGTACCGGGTATAAAAAGGCGAAATAGCTGAACCATCCACTAAGTTAGTTTTTTTTTTTATTAGTTTTTTTTTTCACTGAGATGGGGATGGGGGTGGCAAGCAGTACACCGCGATTTTGGCAAGTGAGTGAAAGCCTTTAAATGAAATTTTTTTTTTTTGCGAACAAGTTAGATTTTCACTCTAACATTCCCATACATTTCATACCTTTGGTACCTTAAAGCTGCCGGTCTACATATATTTATTTTCCTCATTCATTTTGAGTGTTGCTAATTTGCTAGTCCACTCATGTGTGCACTGGCATGGTTAAATAAAATCTAAACAAAAATCTGCGACAACCCATTTTTACGGTAATTAGGTGGCACCGTGTTGTCCTTTGGATCTGCATACGGCCCGCGGCCAAAGACAACAGGGACACAGGAGCCCGTCTACCCGTCTAGGAGTCGCTTGGTCAGCCCCAGTAATATATATATTTTTTTTTCGTGTTCCACAACTGTAGGGTATAAAACATTAGGGAGTGCGGCATATGCGAATATTGCTGGGAGCGAATTTCGTAATGGATGCATCTATTAAGTTCAATGAAATTTAAATTATTTCGAATATATATTGAAGAACGAATGAATGAAGAAAACGCCTTCCTATTTGCAGTGCATTTGCGGTGGGTCCTTTGCCGGACACGCACACACAGCTTCTTCTCCTCCCATATCACCTTGTCTCATAAATTATGGCAAAGAGGTTACTTTGTAATCAGCAAATTAACTTTATCGCCAACGGCGCTTTATGAATGTACCAAACGGTGGGTGGGTCGATTGGTATGTTAGGGGCGTGTCCTCTCGGTCGACCTGGCCTCTGACATTAGCCTTTACAGAGGGGGAAAAGAACTGGCTGTTCCCTGCCAAAATACATGTGTGCGTGTATATGCAATTTTAATAAATTATATTAAAATATGAACAAATCAGTCATTAAATCATGCAGGAAGGCAGACAGGCGGACAGGCGAGCGTTTTCCTGTTGGATAATCGAAATTTGAATGTTTACACTTTGGGTGGGTGTTGTGTGTGTGTGTGTAACACATAGCTCATAAGCATCCCCTTCTACTTCATTTGTAGCTACTGCGGTCTCTCTATATCCATCCTTCCTGTAACTGCTATCCCCTCTTCCAATTGTATCTACAGCCCTCTCATCTCAAATGTATCTACCGGCCGCTCTTCCAACTGTATCTAGAGCCCCCCTACACCATCTGTATCCCTAGCTGTACACCCTGGATGGTCGCGATTTGCGGTGTGTCGCGGTTTTGTTGGCATTGGGGATAAATACAGAGATAAAGAGAAAGAGGAAAGAGTGGCTGGTGCAGAGGCAGAGCCGGCAGGAGTGTGGCAACCAGCACATGCGGTAATTTACCTAATTTTCAATGCCGGTTCTCCCACCCTACAAGCCAAATATTTTGAGGGGTGGGGGGGTACTGATTGGATTTCACAGTATTGTAACCCCATCTCAAATCCATCCTCATTCAGCCGCAGCCCTGCCGCTATTCGTGAGAGTTAATCGAATCTGCCTTTTATGTTGACGCATTTTCATATCAGACACAATCCTGCCAACCAATTTTCTTGTTTGCGTTCGATTTTTCGCTCCTGGGAATGGGGGAATGCTCCCCTTCTTTTTGATTCACTAATTTCTGGCCATAATGCAAACAGTTTTGTAAAAGAAACCTCCCAACATTTTTGTTTGTCCACGAAAATGTTTTTTTTTTGAGCACCAGAAATTTAATGTTGAATCATAAACACTTTGTTTGAGGTTTATGCTCTGTTTGTGAAGGCCAGCGTTACCTTTGCGGGTCCCTCATTAAAGTTGCCTTATCTTTCATCTTTAATCTTGAGAAATGACTGTCCAGGAAATGAACTCTAGAGCAGTGCGGGTGGGACATATCCTTTCCACAGAATATTGTTAATAAGAAAAAGGCAGGAGCAAGTGAAATCAAATGGCTGTCAAAATGTCAACAGCAAGTTATTTTAATTTTATTAAGGGTCACAGTGCGTACACATACATACATACATATGTACATATATCCACCTGCCAGACCCAAATCTAGGAGTGGCACATGTGTTGCCAAGACCGTTTAATAAAACAGGGATTATCGCCAAGGCATTATTTCAATCACATACCAAGTGTCGAGTATTTAGCAGACAACACATCGCCCCAAACAATCCCATTCCCACGGACGGATGTATCCCCACGGTTGTGTGTATGCCCCATGTCAGCTGAGGGGCAGAGAGTGGCGCTTCCCTAAAAAAAGCCAATAAAAATACTTTGTTTGACAAATAAAAGCCACAGTGAGAGGAGCTTTGGCGATAAAATGTTGTAAGATAGCCGTATAGGGTATACTCTCGGAGGAGTCTCAGTCTGAACTCCCTCCCACCCTGCCAATTGCCTGTGTTACTGACAGGTCACATGTGTGGCTGTGTGGGTGTAGTGTTTGTGCCGAGTCCTCACATCGCTTGACTTTACGAGCCAGTCGTAGTGCCCCGTGCGACCGTTGGATGTGTCTGCTGTGGCTATTGTTGCTGCCTCGAGTATACCTTACATCTGGTGTGGGGTATAATTCTCCGCTCCTTAAACTTCAAATCTCTGGGATGCCATTTTCTCTCTTGTCATAAGTGGGAGATGAATTCTTAGAGTATTGACAGTGTCGTTTTATTTATTATCACCATTTTCTTATTTGCTTTCGACTTGCTGCAGCCTTTGCAGATCTTGTTGATGTTGTCGACAACTGTCCCACATCTTTCTTCGCTTTCTGTTTGACAATAATCAAGCCTGACGACTTTGCCTTTTCATATATTTGCCAACATGAGAGAGCAGAATAGGCGGCGGCGACGGCCATACTAATATATATTTGTGTGTGGGTATTGTCTCCTCTTTGGTTCTACTGTCTTTTTTTTTCGAGGATTAGTATATGTTTTTGTGCAGGGTTCGAGTTGTATACTTGTAGTGTGGCGTTGATACAACTAGTTTTATATATTTCTTTGAAAAGTAAGCTCTAGAGTTAAGGATCATTCTGTATCGTACAAATATCTGATGGTTGGAAAAAATAGAGAAGATGCTTATCGGGTGTTAATTTTAGGGGAAAATAATGCCGATAATTTAATTTTTGTATTGTATTTTTTATATTGTATTTTTTATTTATTATAATCTCATTATCAATTTATTAATATTATAATTTTGTATGTTGCTTATATTGTTTGTTATTTATTCATAAATTCATGTATATAATTTGAATTATTAATAGATTAAGGAAAATATTTGTTTCAGAAACAATTTAAGGCAACATTTTCTTTTCTAACATTCAAGTGTGGTTCATAGACATATTTCTAGATTTTCAATCCTCATTCCTTGCAAATATTCGTTGTTCCAAGGTATCCCTTATTCGAAATGTCAAATTTAATATTATACTTTAGATTTTATCACATATTTTTTTCCGCGCACATATTTGTACTTAAATAGACGTCCCCGTCCATCATTTGCTCCATCACTGGCATTCTCTTTGTGACTTTAAACGATAACTTTAAAGTAATCTGTGATGTCATCGTCGTCCCTTTCGTGACTTTTCCTCATGCTGTCGGCTTCCTTCTTTCAATTTTTAAGCGATGGCAGGCGCGGGGTAAAACTAATTAAAATTGTGGCGCATAAATATGCAAACGAGAGGAGAAGGGAATAAAAAAAGATGGAAGCCGCCGTTTTGGGCGCCAATTAAAATGGTAGAACAACTTTTGGGGGGCGTGGAAGGCTCTCAAGCACGTTTCGATATTGGAAAATGTTTCTGTTATACTTTATCTTTTCGTGTGTGTTTTGTGCGTTGGATTGATGTTTGCTCATATCTTGCAATCAATGCACACAGAGAGAGACAGACATACATAATTACAGTTGGCATATTAATCAAGTGGTCAGAATATGTCAGGCTGCTGTTTCTCTCTGGATCTGCCTTTTCCTATATCCAGGAATTGTCTCATCAAAATTGCTTTGCCTAACGGCTTGTCTGTTAGTTAATTGCAGTCACCAACACATTCAAATGTGTGTACCAACACTCTCGGACACACTTGCACAGAGAGGAAGAGAGAGAAACGCACACACACGCAGATGACGCTCAAAATTTCAATAAATGATTGCATACTTTCGGATGCCGAAAATATTTCATCGTCATTGGAAAATATGTTTGGATAGGCTATGAAGCACCCATCCATACCCATTTCCATACATTTACACCACCCTCTGCCACCGTAGTGTGTACAAATTTCTGGCATTGGTTTGATGGTTTTATATTCTGCTTTTATTTGATGATTGATGCACTTTCAAACCATGTTTATTCCTCGTCGCTGTTGGCAATGTTTTCTATGAAGATTGCACATGTTACTGATTGATTTTGAAACTTGGCAGGTAGTTGAAGATATCATAAGCTTTGAATACATTTATGTACTGCCAAAGTTGGCAATTAAATCAGAGAACATTTCATATCTAAGTGCGGATTAGTATTTTGCAATAAGCAATACAACATTTGAAGATTTTACCATCTATAATATATTAAAACCTATTTAGGTTCTGTGAATGTTAGCAAAAAATGTTTTGACTTTTTTGCTGATGAGCGTTCTCTGATTTTTCAAATCGAAAAATTTGCACAATATTCTTGAGAAAGTATAAATAATTTTAATTCAAAAATTCATGATTTTATTTCAGGTTTTTTATCAGTGTTTTTTTAATGTACATAAATGTATATGTATTTAGATAACTAAGGTAAGTGCGATCTTTAAATAATATATACTTTCTTCCACTTTTTTTGTTTGATCGTGTACTTTCAATCTTGGATTTCTACTTCCCACCTGTGTACCTTTAATGCTTTGATGTTCTACTTTTAATTCTTGTTTTTAAATTAACAAACAATTAACATTAAATGGCACAAGTTTTTTAAAAGCGTCACTTGAATTTTATAGACTCTGCTCTTATTTCTGCTCCCCAATTACTGATTTTACAATAAAAAACACCAATCGAAAGTGTTTTTTTTTTTTCGTGTGAAAATCAGCACGTGTGTCTGTCCCTTTGTCTGTCTTGTTTGAAAGGCATAACAATGATGCTGACAACAGCAGCATCGCCAGCATCAGCGGCAGCAGCACGACAAAAATCAGTCGTACCGATAGGACACAACTCCATAGTTAGTCAAACGAACAGAGGGGACATGGAGGGGACAAAAACAAAAGCATGAACAGGAAAATGGCAGACAAACCAATCCCCAAAAATCCCACCGAATGTTGAAAAGCATTTACAAACATTGTGGTCGCTGAAAAAATACTCTTGTCACAGAGAGAGAGAGAGAGAGAGAGAGTGAGAGAGCAAGAGAGAGAGAGAGTGAGAGAGTGATACGAATACAGAGAGTGTTATATAATAAACACATGAGGCTTGGGGTTTTTGCGGGCTAACTAGACTGTCGTACAAACGGACGGACGCACTGTCAAACATTCGGGACAGCGGACATCAGACACCAGACGGTGGTCAGGCGGACACCAGACACCGGACGAGCGGACAACCGGACCATCGCTGCCTGTCAGTGCCACTAGAACGTGAGAATCGCCGCCGCAGAGATTTGGCTTTTTATTGGGAGAGCCACCAACACAACCGGCATTATGCGCATTTTGTTTTGAAATCAAAGCAGCGACGACCCCCACTCATCTCTCTGCTCTCTCCACTTTCTGTGTGGGTTGATTAGCTATAGGTGCAGGTTATCATGGAATTTGGGGTGGAATAAACAACAACAAAAATCGACAATTAAAAGTGCAAAAAGGCATCAAAGAGCAGAACCCATCAAGAAACCCCACTCCAACTCTTTATGCAAAACTATGTAAATCCTTATGAAACATTACCTTATGATGTCGAATATGAATGACGATGCAAGGGATTGTAATTTCATCATTTTCCCCAATAATCATGGACTCAACAATCAATCGAATGTGCGGCGGGGTAATCGGCAATCATGCAACACGTGTGAGACATACAGGCACAGAAGTCCGGCCGGCAACCGAGAGAGAGTGAACCCATTGGGTCACACGTGACATGTGACATAAAATCCCGCACTACCCGCGCCAACAACGTACAGTGCGGAACACTGCAAGCAGTGCGAATGGGATTTTGCTTTGGCCTTTTTCTGATACAATTCTCTGTGCAGATTGCGTCACTCGAATGTGTGCAAATTCCGCATTGCGAAGCGGTTTAAAATTAAACTTAATTATAAACCGAATGCCCAACAATAATGCTGCCGTTGCCCCGCCGCACAACCAATTTGACTTACATGAATGAATGAAAAGCCCCCTAGCCCTCGGACTGATAAGCCACGCGTCGTCGCGCGTCTCAGTTGGGCCCATCAGCACCGCACAGCCCCGCTGACCGCGGCGCGATTCGGTAGTTAGGGGAGCCAAGCAAATCGCGCGACTCAGCATAATGCCCCCAGTCGCCAGTCGGCAGTCCGACAAACCCCAGACACTGCTAGACATTCGAAATAAATCAAGTCTTCTCTCTCTCTCTCTATCTCTCTCTCCCTGTGTGTGTGATTACTGGAAACTTGGGAAATACTCACTATAAGTGCACGCCCAGCAATGGTTTATGGATTTGTTCAACACCTTTGATTTCTAATCAATTGAAGTGCACTTGAGATAATATTCAGGAACTAGCAAACCTAAATTCGTAGAACGATAGGAGGAACTACTTGCAGTGCTAAGAGTTTCTTGACTCATGCCAAGTGTGGTATTCATTTTATAGATCTGAAAGGAATGAACTCATGAGAATGCTCAGGGAATCATTTTGGTTTGATTGAGAAGGGTTCCTCCATGCATTGATTTATTGCTCCATAGAGTTTGATGAACAATACCTTAAACGACGTCCAATTAATGCACATGTACATACAAAATGGGGAGCACAATATATAATTTTTGTTCAACTTTTCCCAAGTTCTTAAACATTCGACATTTTGTTAAACACTCGTCACAGAAAACCACATTTTTGCATTTCAAAGCCTAATATTTCCCAGACGGTAAGCCAAAACCACAAACTGTTTGAGATCACTTTTTAGCTGCATCAATCAGCTTTTCAGATAAACAAAGTTCTTTAAAACCAGATCTGAGATACTTAAGCTATGTGAAAAACAAGCCGCTACCTCTGAAAAAAGCCGTTACAAAACCCGTTTAAAAATTCTTCTTAAAAAGTTCAGCCAGAGAAAAAAACATAATTCGTTAAAAAATGTAAAAGTCGGTTTGGTTCCTTGAGGAAAAAAAAGTTCAATTTTGTCGAGTAGTGATCCCTAATGGATCAGTCGCCTGAACGATACCACTATCATAATTCTTGCAGGTTTAACGATCTCTTCCATGTTCAAATCTGAAATATCTCCAGCAAAATATCTTGATTTGAGTTGAATTCCAGCTGAACTTTACTGTGGAACAGGGTTCGGCACGGCCATATCTATTGTGCATAGAAAAGCTCTTCTATTAAAACTCTACAAATGTTTTTTCATCAGCAAAACCAAAGACAGCTAGACAGTCACTCGTCTGGGTCCTTTGGGGGGAGGGATTGAGTTCGCATTGCCTGGGGTTGACCGACCCGATCCGACCCAACCCACTTTCGGTTTAGTCATTTTACTCACGCGCAGCGTGTACCGGGGCCATGTTGTTAATGGTCTATTAATGCGGTCGCCAGGTGGAAGGCATACCGTTTCTATCCCCATGCCGTCAAGCCAAGCGTCGCGTCGTATGAGTAATATGCGCAACGACCTTCAACAAGTTGCCAAGTGAAAACCAACGGTACATACTTCCCTCTCCCTGTTTTTGGCTTCGGCTTCGGCTACGACTACGACTACGACTCTGCGACGGCGAATGCTGGGCTCTGTTGTGCGGCAGGAAGCGTGTTAATTAGCAAATAGATAAAAAAAGCTTGCCGGGAAATACGCACATAGATACAGAGAACACACACGCACTGACTTGTTTGTAGTATCTGTGTGAGTAGCTCGATTGCTGTGCTGACTAGAGGTACTGCCCGGTTTTTGATTTCAATGCATGAGGAAACAAATCTTTGTGCCATTTCTGCAAATTTCGTACATTTGTTTCTAGCTGAAGGGTGCTCTAACTTGTTTTTAATTACTTGTAGTGCAGAATATGTACATAATGTGACCTATAAAATGTATAATAATTAAATTTGGAATCTTTCAAATAAGGACTTTAAAAATTTTATATTCATTAATAAACTTATATCGGGTACCATAAAAGATTGAAAACGCCATTAAAAATTCATTAGATAATCTACATTTATCAAATTTTTAAATGTATTTAATTAAATGTATGTATTTAAATCCTAATCGGATTTCTTTGGTATTTTTGTAACACAATCTTTAATACTTAATTCCCTGATGGTAACATCTTCACTTAGCACCTCGTAATCCCTAGATAAATCCATTTAGCCACAAAGTGTTAGAGAACGATGCACTCTGTTCGGATTACTTTCGCACGAGGGAGGCATCTGGTAATCCATAGATTTGTTCTTACCTTTCAGCATCGACATGCCTTGGAATGTCTCTCACGTTGTGCCACGTAATTGAAAATTAACTTGTCTGCGACGTTCTTGCAACGTTCTCTGCCAAGTATTTTGGTCGACATATGCGTGCCGCATACCAAAAATTAGCAACCAAAATCTAAATAGAAACAGAAACACGGCAAAGAGGTGTAGAGTTAAAGGTTCCTAAACAAGGAAATTTATTCACAATACTTGAGAGGGGGGTTGTGGAAGGGGCAACTAATTAAAGCTACACACCGACTAAACACTAAACTAGATGCTAAAGATACTAATCGATATATTCTACAGATTGGCTGGCTACCAAAACTGGCATTGGGTGGCAGAATTCATGGGAGTGCCCCTGGCACACTGAAAGTACTCGGCAAACTGTGGCATCTGACTCAAGGCATAATTGAGGCGCGTGCTGCCCATGTCGTGGTATCTGTCGCCCTCGTCGCCGCAAAAGAAATGCGAGAACTGCAGGAAATAGTATCTGCCATTCGACTGTCGGCTCTGCGAATCCTTCATGTAGGTGCGAAACGCCAGCCGGGACCCACTGACATCCGAGGTGCGTTCATTCAGCACCACAGAGCTGTCGTTCAGGCACTTGACGGCCTCCACATAGAGTGGCTGCTGTTGAAGCTGTTCGCTGTAGTCACGCATATTGCCCTGAACATCGTAGTCCACCAGATCTGTATCGAAGGCATGCATCATCTCGTGGCCCAATGTGTTGGCCAAATCTCCGTAGAGCATTGCGGGCCAGAACTCAGAGTGGTAGAACGGCAGCTGAGCGTACGAGTACGGAATAATAATGATATTCCCCAGGCAGTAAAAGTAAGGCGTGGCATCGATGTTGTCCGTGAGATCGGGCGAATGATTGTTAAAACTATACCATAGAGCCTTTTCTGTGGCGTCGGGATTGTCCTCCAGTTCTGCCGTCAGCGAATAGTAGTAGAGCAGGCTGTTCAGATGGTTCTCGTGAAAGTCGTGGCCCACATTCCAGTTTCTGTCGGCGGCCCAGAAGAAATCCTCCGTGACATTTCTGGGTACATTTCCGACATTCAAGCGCATGCCCAGGACCTTTGTCTGCAGCGCCTCCACTAGTCCTCGGTTGAGATTGAAGTTGTTTTGGTCCAGCGTCTGCACCAGCTGATCCTTGAGCTCTGTGAAGACACTGTGGATGACACGTTCATCGGATGGTCGCTGCT